ATGGATGATGGATGGATGATGGATGGATAGATGATGGATGGATGATGGATGGATAGATGAATGGATGGATGGATAGATGGATGGATGGATGGATGGATGGATGATGGATGGATGATCAAAGGTCTATCAATCTCCTCAAAGACGGTGCAGACAAGTCCCCAGGTGCCCATCATTCAGGAGTGGCCCCAAGGAATGAGCGTTCAGCTCTAGTGACAAGTGAACCGTGTGCGGCCTGACAGCCAGGAGGACTCTGACACCATTGTAGACCAGGCCCCTAGGCTGTGTTCCCACTCAGTGTTTTGTGCCCTTAGAAGCAACTAATTAGAAGCTGCGTTCACGTTTCTTTTACTGTGACACCGGCACTGCTAGTACCCTCAACGAGAGAGCTCACAAAACAAAACAAACAAAAACACCAGCAACAATGACACCGAATGTCCTCATCCAAACAGGAGGCTCTAGACCTGGCTGTAGAGCTGAGGCTCCTCAAGGCCCAGGTCATGGAAAGAGAAGGAGCGCCCGGAGCGCTGCTTCAGGCCACCGCTTTGGGAATCACTAAGGATGTGAGCAGGATTGGGCAGCCAGTTAAAGGAATGACTGGCCTCGAACAGACAATTTTAACCAAGAAGAGGCGAGGGTCAATCCCTGAGGCAGACAAGCCCGGGGATGGTTTAGACAGGAGACCATCATGAGAAGAGGGTTCCTAAGGAGTTTACGCACCAGTCAAAAGCCAGCAGGCCGGCGGTACAAACGGAAAGGGACAGCAAGAAAAGAGGCCCACGGGCTCTCGAGGGCCCCCAGGGGCCACCCGGCTCCAGCGCCTCAACGCAGCCGTTTGGCTTACATAACACGCCTATCACTGGAGAGGCAGGAAGCGCTGCTGGCAGAGCTGCCAAAAACCTCAGTGATGAGCTGGACAAGATAATACGAGATGAAGAATAGCTAGCTACCCGAGCAGGCTTTGAACACGGATGAAACAGGCTTGTTTTGGGAAAGGGATGCCAGGATGGGCCTAGATTCACGAAGAGCTGAAGTCCATGCCTCATCGCAAGGCAGCGAAGTACAGAATGTTGCTGCTGTTTGGCCGTGAGACGGCCTCTTCTGGCGTACTGTTCTGAAAGCCCGCAAGCATTCAGAAATGCTGGCAAAACCAAGTCCCTCCAGGAGTGTTGAAAAGCAACGGTGCTCCTTTGAGGACTAAGATGCGCCTCTCCCAAACCAGGGTATGTTCAACCACCTCCCGCGCCTGTGAAAGGCGAGCAGGGAATCCGGGAGACGGAAGGAGAACGGCTACATCGGCGTGATGGTGCTGGCGGAGACTACGCGAGCGCCCAAAGAACAAAGAGATCAGATTTGGAAAAAGCACAACCCAAACGCTCCTGAGGGGCCAGGCTGGTGAGCCTCCGTCTCGAGTCCTAGGCACATGCTTTCAGGAGAGAGCACTCCTTGGAGAAGCACATTCGGCTTGTCCAGGGGGAGGGGTAGTGCCATCCACCCTTGACTAGGTGGCTTGATGCAGTGGCTACAACAATGGGCTCAAACACGGAACGATTGTGAGGATGGGACAGAAATGGCACATGCACAAGAGTCCCAGAGGGGCTCCAAGGTGTAGATGGTGAGTGTGTTTCTTGAAGGCAGGTTTTTAAAATGATTTCCATCCCAAAGTATGAGCCTCCTGCCTTGAAGAGAGAGCTCCTTTTGAGATTGGGCTGCTGCTTGTGGGCGGCCCAGGACATCTTCTTCTCAAAGATGATGGACGTCAAGATGGGAGAGCAGTACAGCTACCTCCTAGCAGCCGGCTGGGATGCAGCCAGGTGTAATGGTCTCCTTCCAGGTATACCACCTGGGAGCGATGGTTGCCTAGCCAGCAGCTACAACAGATGGTGGTATGGTAACAGGGCGCCATTGCTGGAAGCACCAGAATAATCTTCGGTGCATTTGAAACGTTGCCTCTTCCTGGGAGGAAATTGCATGGAGGAACAATGAGCTGACTTATGTGAACACGCTCCAAGCATTTTATCCTCATAAAATGATGGAAGAGACAGATAGGTGGGGGTGGGGTGACCGCCCATACGGGAAGAACGCTGGATGTAGGTCATGACGGCACTGATGAGGAGCACTCCAAGGTCACGGAGAAGGGAGTTGACAGATCGGGATGTAATGGATTTTAAGGAGGAGAGAGATGCTGAAGGAGAATTACGGAGGAAGAGGAAGGAGAAAGGTTATCAACATTTTTCTTACCATGAGAGGATTAGCCAAAGTTCTTGCTTTTTCCCTCTAAACTTACGCAGGGGCTTCAGTTGCTTGAAAATAAGGCCCCAAATACTGATGGCTTTGTTAAAGGCCACAGGCAGTTTCAGGAAGCACTGAAATGTTACTATAAAATACATAAAGGGCCATATAGATAAGTCTCACTAAATTTCGGAGTAGAAACATTTCCATTCCCAGGGATAAATTCAGAGGATCTGGAACCTTCCATGAGTGGAGTTATGCCAATGGACCAAATGCTCAGGTGGTCCAACTCTTCGTCTTTGGAGTGGTTGCTTTGTGGTTTGTGCATTGGTATGTACGTGTCTGCTCAAGCAAGCAGCAGGTGGAAGTCAAACGTTATATTGCCTTGGGGAAATCTACAGCCCGAGACCTCTTTAAAGGGTCAAAGAGTAAGGATGCCACCTGGAGGGTTAAGGTGCACCTGACCCAAGTCATGGGGAGCTCTGGTGGTGTAGTGGTTTAAGGTGCACCTGACCCAAGTCATGGGGAGCTCTGG